ATACCAAAGAGTCAGAGTAATAAAAACAGCATGGTACTGGTCCAAAAACAGAAATGAAGACCTATGGAACAGAATAGAAGACCCAGATATAAATCCATGCAGGTACAGTCATCTTATTTTTGACAAAAGCACCTACCACATAAGAGGGAGAGAAGACAGCTCTTTAACAAATGTTGCTAGGAAAAGTGAGTATCTGCATGTGGAAGACTGAAACTAGATCCATGTCTTTCATTCTGCACAAATATCAATTCAAAGTGGTCAAAGATCATAATATAAGGCCTAAAACTTTGACGCTAGTACAGGAAAGAGTAGAGAATGTACTGGAATGTAGAGGCATAGGCAAGAACTTCCTATGCAGAACTCACATGGCTCAGTAACTAAGAGAAACAATTGATAAATGGAACTGCATGAAACTTAAAAGCTTCTGCACAACAAAAGAAATTGTCACCAGATTGAAGAGTCAGCTCACAGGATAGGAGAAAATCTTTGCTAACTATACATCTGACAAGGGATTAACAACCAGAATATACAGGGAGCTCAAAAAACTAAGCTTCCCCCCAAAATCAATGACCAAATGAAGAAATGGGCAAAAGAACTGTGAGCTTTTTCAAAGGAAGAAGTGAAAATGGATTAAAAAAAAAAAAAACACATGAAGAAATGCTCAACATCCCTGGCCATAAAGGAAATGCAAATCAAAACCAAACTAAGATTCCACCTCGCCCCTGTTCATCAAGAACACAAACAACAACAAATGCTGGCCAGGGTACAGGGAAAAGAGAAACCTTCATATACTGGTGGAACGTACATAAGTACAACCATTATGTAAAACAGTATGGAGGTTGCTCAAAAGACTAAACAGAGAACTACCATATGATCCAGCAATACCACTTTTGGGCATATATCTGAAGGAATGTAAGTCAGAGATACAATAAAGACACTTGCACACCCATGATTATTTCAGCATTATTTACAATAGCTAAGCAATTGAAACAACTTATGAGTAGATTAAGAAAATATGGTATTATAAATAATGGAATTTTATACAGTCATAAGGAAGAATGAAATTTTATTGTTTGGAGGTAAATGGATGGAACTGGAGAACGTCATCTTAAGTCAAGTTAGCCAGGTTCAGAAAGCCAAAGATTGAATGTTTTCTCTCATATGTGGAAGGTAGATCCAATACTAGTACAAACACTATTATATATGCATATAAATACACACAGAACATGTTTCCACAAGTGGGACAATTAGAGGAGACTAAGGGAGGAGAAAATAACAAAAGAACATAGAAAGGGAATAATAATGAAATATATCACATCTGTGTAAGAATAAGACGTAACAAAACACTGAAAACTGTGGAATAATTACAGGTAGGGGGCAAAAGGGGAAGAAGACCAGTGAAGGTGTTAGACTGATTTAAGCACAATGTATTTACAGGTAAAATATGAAGGCAAAAATCCTCACTAAACAATGAACAGACACTTAAACAATGAAGGACAGGAATAAAAAATAGGTCATGTTAATGGGACAGCACTTGTGGGAGAGGGGTGGTAAATAAAGAGGGTAAAGGAAGGTGAATATGGTTGATAAACTTTCTATACATGTATGCATATGGAACATTGAAATCTGTTGAAGTTATTTTAAGAAGGGAAATGAGGTAGGAGTGAGAATAACGGAGGGAATGAACCAAACCAGGGTATAATACATGTGTTTATGGAAATCTCACAGTGAAACCTTGTGTATAACTATCATATGCTAACAAAAATCTTAAAAGTAAAAGCCATGAAAGAGTATGAAATGTTTCTGACTGAGCATAGTAGAGAAGGACTTCCCTTGAGGAGCCCTGGGCACTCTCAGAATTAAGATTCAGGAACTTGTGAAGGAGTTGCTGGAATGAGAAAAAGGAATAACCATAGAGGAGGGGCGGTCCCTCAGAGCCCAGAAAAGTGAATATTTCAAGTAGAGTATGTCAGTGTGCCAAAATGCTACAGATAGACCAAGTTAGAATTCATTGATGACCTTGACAAGAGCTAAGTCGCTGGACAAAAGAAGACCAATGATTGAATAGAGTAGTTTCAAAACAAGAGATGAAAAAAAGGAGAAGCCTATAAACATGGACATAAAGTAGGTGGATCTTTCAAGCTTTTCTTAAAGGGTTCCAAACAATGGAAAGGAAGCTGTAGCATAATCTGGTATCAAGGAAGTATTTTGTTTCCTTTTTTTTTTTAAGTGTGGACATTACATTCTGTTTATACACTAAGGGGAATGATACAAGAGGGGTAGAGAGAATATTGACGCAGGAGAGAGAAAGGAAAGTTGCTAAGAATGATGTGCTCCTGAGTATATGATTACAACGTTTTTGCTTTCTTTGGGAGGAACTGTGACAAAGGGGGAGTATCTTCAAATTAAGTGGGAGATCACCAAAGACAGAATCCCATCTACAAGAAGAATGTAAACCCCAGCAATATTTTTGCTTGCTGGAGGCTAAGAAATGAATCCAGTAGTGTTCCTGTTGAGGCAATGGTTATTGGACTCTAAGGGTCATGATATCCAACACCAAATTTCATTCTCTTGGTCAGTGCTCAAGCTGCTATCTAATATACCCAATTCTTAAAGAAGTCAAACAACAGTGTACTTAGATTTCTAGAACTTATACCATAAAGTCTCTTTCCAGTCTCGGGGAAAGCAAACTTAACAGAATTGCCAGGGTGAAGATTTCTAAAGAGACAGGAAAGAATCCTCGAGCAGTGACACAGAGATAGGGGTGACAAAGATGATCAAGAATAAGATTTTTTGAGCATATAAGCACTTCTCAGGGTCTCCCCAAAATGTTTATGGACACGGACAGGGTTGGGGATTGGGTTATGGATATTTGTACTGTAGAATTTTTTTAAATGAGCAGAAGACTGGAAAGCTTAGAGATGCTTTAGGTACATGTGAGGCAGGGCCACAGAAAGGGCCTCACCTGCACACCCACTGCAGATACCCAGAAATACAACTGTCTTAGGGATCCTCAGCCCTGAGAACAGGCCAAGAGGAAAGGTGAGACTGGTTATATTTAGGGTACTAGTTTTATTTAGTTAGTATATTTAGCAAAGAAGGGAAATTAAACACAGTCTGCACCGTGCAGAACTCTAGACATCTAAGAAATCACCTCAAGGCACACGAGATGTTTTGTGATTACAGTGTTTCCAGTACTGCCCAGGAGTAGACCATGAAAAACTGATGGGAATTTGTCCCAAGATCTTTGAGAGAGACCAGACCTGAGGAGTCAAGTTTAGTTAAAATAATCCTACAGCAGAACTGCTCTCCTAAGTTAGGGGCTGACCATACTCTAGGTGAGCAGGAATTCTTAGACCTTACTTTTCATCCAACAAAGCATCAGAGTTTTTATGAGGTACCCTCTATCAATAAAATTTTATATTATCATAAGTATGTTTCAATTGATAAAATTAAGTTTACCAATGCTCAATCATTTCTCCAAGACTACAAATCTCTCATTGCAAGAATTTGTTTAAAATTTAGAATTCTCTAGATCCCAAGCCAATGATATTCCCACTGCATTTTACAAATTAAAAACAAGAGTAGTAATTATATTTTAAATTAAAAATAACATGACCCAAAGGTTAATACCAGAAAGTGTGTCTTTTACTTTGTTATATTTGAAATCCCAGGCAAGTGAATGTGTAGCCCAAGATGCAGTGGGCTTAAGGGTTTGAACTCTTGGTCCTGGTGATTGCATAGTTCTGACATTTTCTATCCTCCATGCATGAGGAGTTTGCCCTTTGGAAGTAAGCGAATTTGTCATGCAGTTGACTAAAATGCTGCCTATTTGTTGAGTGAACATTTGTTGAATGAATGAATGAATATTATATAAGAACCATTCTCTTTTCCACATTTGCCATATAGTTAAGAGCCTGCTTGCATTGGCATAGATATTTTACCCATTTTCCTTTTCAATTCCTCTCCTCTCCACACCCAAGCCATCAACCTCATCTTTACTTTCTATCACATTGAATTTTTTGCTTTTGAGCTAGGTTCTCACTATCTCAGGCAGGCCTTGAACTTTTGATCTTCCTGCCTCCACTTCCCCAATAGGAGGATTACAGACGTGAGTCACCACATGGGGTTCATTGCATCTTAATTACCCTTCAAATGACAAGTACCAAATTAATTGTCAAAGAGATTAGCTTTTACTACGTGGTTATATAAGGTTTTCTTTGTCATATTTGCTGTAACAAACAAAGGAGTGACCAAATCATTCTTGATATGACCTAATTGCTTGAAAATTATCTCAAGTAAATAACCCAATGTTAAGAGCAGTAATAAAAATAATAATTTTTGCAGCCCAGATCTGGAATCTGCCAGAGTCATTTTCACAAAGAGAATTTTTTTAAAAGACTTTTTATAGGCCAAAAAAGGCTTAGAATCTTTTCTCTCCAGTTAGAAAGCTCTGTTTGTTTGCTTTTTTTTTTTAAGAAAAAAACTTTCAGTCTACCATTTCAGAAGGTCTTGAAGAACCCTCTGGAAAATTCTTTCTGTTTAGAGCACTTTTTAATTGTTAAAATGGAATCTCCAATAAAATAATACATTTTAGTCAGAATATAACATCCCCGAAATGAAAGTACTTTATTAAGATTCATGCCATATGTTTTTCTCTGCTATAGATTCTGAAGTGCAGCACAGTTCTATGTAAAATTTGGTTGCACTTTAAAATTTTGATCTGAATCATAATTCAGGATATCTGCTTCTGAAATGATTGAATATTCTATAGATGGAAGCTTAGGATCTCATTCTTCACCACCTCTTTTATGGACTCAGGGGCAGATAAGAATACTATAGCCTCTAATCTTTGGATGAGAGTAAAATAATTAAAACTCACTTTTCATTTTATTCATACCCAATTGCAGCCTTGCTGAGCCAAATCTATAAGCAATATAACACTTGTTACTTTCCCTTATTAGTTGGAAATCATTATACATGACTCAATTTTAACATACCTGGGAATGTAGTCATCAGAGTATCTGTACATTTCGTCTGAAAGATATTCAAAATATACAAATTAAAAGAAAGTTTGACATACATTTGTTAAATACACTACAAAGTGTTCTGAGAGGAGCTTAGTCTCAGTATAAGTTAATGCGCTTGAGGACACCACTAATTGAACTAGAAATGGTATGGTTTGGGTCTGATGAGTGTTTCTGAAGAGTCCATAGTTTGGTGCCCAGATGGTTGTATTGCAAGGTGCTGGGGGGCCCTTAAGAGATGGTGCCTATGGGGAAGTACTTGGCTTAATGAGGGTGTTGCCCTTGGAATTGACTAAGTATTTCTCATGGGACCCCTGGCTACTATTAGAGAGAAATGTGTTCTAATAGAAACAAGACTGGTTCCTCTCTCTGTTTCCTGTATGGAGATGTGATACTTTACTCCAACATGTGCTCCTGCCATTGCTATCTGTCAAGAAGTGATGTAACAAGGGGTAGCCCTTGTGATAGAATTTATGCTGTGCTGTTTGGACTTTGAGCTTCCAGACCTTTCAGCTAAATAAAATTCTTCTTTTTATAAACCTAACTGCCTCAGATATTTTGTTGTTGTACAAAGCTGACTAATACAAGGAATAAAGTCCTTCTTTTATTTAGACCAGATTCTTACTTGGTAATTTGTATGGAAACAATGCAGGTTGGAAATTATGTAAAACTGAGATGCACGGCCATTCTATGCACAGAAAACACTAGGCATAAAATTCTAGTACTTCTATTCTTCCTTCCCTTGTGGTTTTTTGGCTATATGGAGCATGGATGTACTTTCTGCCTGAGTTCCACAAACACATCTGCACCCTTCTCTTACTTCTCTCTTTGCCCATGTTGGTTTGAATAGGCTTTATTCCTTACCAATGTTTTTGAAAAACTAAGAGAAAGTTTTTATCTATCTATCTATCATCTATCTATCTATCTATCTATCTATCTATCTATCTGTCTGTCTGTCTTTAAAACATTGTTGGCATCTGATCAGCAACATGAAAGTGATGTTAAGAAAGTAGGTCTGGTTAGATTTCCATTTCATTTACATGGAGCAAATAGTGGTAAGTAGAGGTGATATTCCCAGAGAGAAAAGACCTGGAAAAAGTTGGAACTCAATCTCTGAAATTAGTTAAAACAGCAGAATGACCTCTAAAAAATAGTTCTCTGTGGTCTGCAAAGATAATACAGGACAATAAAACCATGAAGAAAATTGTATGCCAAATCTCAGTAAGTAACCCACTGTTGAACCTAGAAGGTGGTAGCTCAAGGACAAATAGCTTAGAGTTAAATACATATATGTATTCAAAAGTTGTTGAAAAATACAGTTTTAAGAATTTTTTTTGATGAAAGCAATAGATCCATAATGAATTACTGAAGTAAATTAAGACTAACTCAAGGTACAGTTTTGATAAGATCAATATCATGAAGAAATCTATATTATCCGCTCATCAATAAATTTTCTGTGATATTGAACTGGATGGAAATACATAGCAAGATATTTATTATATTTGAATTTCATATTATTTCACCAAGCATTGAATAAAAGCTAAACTCTTAAACATTCTATAAAATAAAGGCTAATATTACCTAAGTCTCTCACAATGACCCAAAGATGACAGTAACTAAATGTTGATTTTTCTTCTTTAAATGAAAATCATTATGTCTTGGTAAGGGACTTGCAGCAACATTTTCAAATAATCAAGTCATTCACCAAACATGTATGAAAATTATTTTTAGTTAAATTTATATGTAAAAATGTTGGATTATTCTCCAGAGAGGTTATTAACTCTTGATAAACATTAGTGAAATTGTTTATGAAAATAATCTCATTGTAGGATGAACTGGGTATGTTGCATACCGATGTGTTTGGAAGAATTATGTGAAGAACCAAATGAGGGCAGTTTCTGCAGAACATGTGTACTAAGCTGCTATGGAACCCAAAGTGATAGCTATAGTCACTTGGGATATGTCAGAAATACGCTTGTTCTTGTCTATAGGAAATGTCTTACTATGAACTGCACATAAGGCATGAAATTATTTTCAACTGCTTCTAGATTTGTCTTGTGAATATTAATAACCACGAACGCTAGGGGAGCCTTGACAGATTAAAAGATATATCATAGTAGTCACAAGTCAATGGAAGTCTGGCAAAAGTAGGAAGCTTAAGAAATGTAAATAATATCAGTAAACATAAGAAGAAAATTTAGTTAATATAGACCAGACTGAAAAATAAAGCATTATATAGTGTATATGCTTTTTTCTTTATCTGTTTCAGAGAAAGAAATGTTTATACTCAAGTCATTCATTACTACATAGATTTACTTAAAACTAAAGTGCATTTCATGAAAAATTAGTCAAATTGTAGCTGAAATAAATTCAAACTGAAAAAAATGCAAGGTTAGTAATCAGCAGACGTTGGACTTGATTCTAGTTCTGCAGTACAGTTTTCACGTAATAATATGCAAATATTTTTTAAAACTATGATTATCAGTTTATCTACAAAGTAGGAATAATAAAGCCTATATCATGGAGTAGACATGGAAAATAGATAATTTCTGTAGAAATATTTTATGAAATGACAAAGTTACTTACTGATAATATACATTCTAAATCCATATCATATAACAAGCCACAATATGTACATATAACAAGCCAAAATATGGACTTGTCAAGCAAAAGTACTAAAGTGTGAACATTGGTGCCTGGAAAGTATACCCATGTAAAATGAGTAAAAGAATAACTCTAAAGAAGGGAAATATAGCATAGCTGGATGTATTATCAGCAGAATAAAGGGAAAGAAAAGGGAAGACCAAAAAGCTTCATGCCAAAAATGGAATAGAAGCAGTCATGCGGATACAACATAATAACACGTGAGGCTTAGATGGAAGGTAAAGGAATTAACACAATGTGAGAAGAAGAATGTATGTAATGAATCAGGACATTATACACCAAGACCAACTATATTGATGAAACACCCTGAAAGAAGACTTAAAAAGTTCAAGGACACCTCACTCCAAGCTATTTTTAGAATTTTAAATGGGTGATCTGGAGCTGTGCCATCAGTACTCTCGTGATTTCACTTTTACAGTTTTTTGTAAGAAGGTTAATAGAATAATCTCTTTACATGGAGAGTCTAATGAAAAGATCAGAGGTTAGAGCCAAGAATGAAGGTCAGCAACTTCAGGCTTCTAAAAAGGGCTTGCTCTGTTACGAGGGCTCAGAAGTTTATTGAAAAATAAATGACATGATTAAATGCTGCCTATTCATTTCAGTGATATGTAGCAAAAGTAAAAAGTGTATTCTCTGCTATAAAGCAGTCAAGTATGCAATATTGTGTGTGTGAGAAGAGTCAGGTTAGTTTTCATAATCCTCTCCTGAGATTCAGATGTAAAACTTGTGGTTAGTTACATAGTTGAAGGGGTATGATACCAACATATTTGCTGTAGAATAATTCACCCTTTTGTGCACCACACACTACAACAAGAAACAGCAGCACAGGGGATAAACTTCATAATGGAATCTTTCTGATTCATTCTAAATGTGAAATGTACAAAATATGCCATCATTTTCTCGTGAATAGGAGATAAACCAGTAGGACTTTGATGCATGCACAAACCATACACTTGTTTATTCTTCTCAAATCAGAGAGGAGTTGGATAAGTAATATTCTTTGGATTTAAAGGAAGACAAAGCTAATATATCCCTTTCAGAAAAAGAAATAGATATAATCCTCCTAAAGAGCAAATTTGGACAAAGAATCACATAAAAATGAAAGATTTATTTTGGGAGGAAGAGAAGTCTATTTCAAAGCTTCTACCTAGCTGCTACAGAAAACATCAAAAAAGGCTTATCTTGTCCATCTGATTGAATGTGTAGATATTATGTTGTTGCTGGATGGAGATTTTCTTTTGTAAGCTATTCAACACACCAGCAAAACTTATGCACTGACTGTTGGCTAAGGTGGAGTCATACCTTGCAAGTGTCTTAGCCACAAGAGTAGCTCAGTGATGCAAACATAAAAATTAAATGAGGCCAGATGCAGGAGCAGTGCATTCACGGACCCAGGGGTAGAAAGCTAACTGATGTGACAGAATCTCTTTTAGCCTGTCTGTGCAAGAGAAAAACAGCAGAGAGGAGACCTCAGGACTAGGGAGAAACCAAACAGTTTGCAGAGCTAGTACCAAATCTCCTGGGATTCTCTGGGTGAGAAATAAAGCTAGTATTTTGTTCAAGTGAAATGGAAAACATGGTGGACTTTATTACTCTTGGGAAAAACTGTTACAGGACTTGGGGTAGTTGGGAAAAGGCTGCAGAGAGAAAGTTTGGAGGTGGGATGAGAACAAGGAGCATTCTTAGAGCAACGATGAACCATGAAGGCTGCTCCAAGGCTCATCTAGGGTTTGCACATCTACGAAGTGCAAGATCCAGAGTTGTGTACTCCACCTAACTGGGTACATGACTGCTCAAATAAAATGACTTTTGTGATCAGCTAATGTTTAGAGCCAATTTCACAAAAGCCTACAGAAGTGTCTGAAATGGACCTGAATGTGATTTGCATGAACACAATAGTTACGGCTAAACTTAGGGCATTATACAGATTTGTTCAATTATACAGAGATGAAAATAGGAAGTGAAGTGGGAGCTAGAGCAGACCTAGAGGACACAGGTTAGTGAGAGCAGCAAAGAGGCCTGAAGAACTAATGTTCACTGAAATGACACATGTTAAATGGGATAACATGTAACCATGGCAGGCCCTTAGTAATTATTTGTGGAAAGGCAAGGAAGTACCAGGGCCACTAGATATGGACTGTACTAGGTCCACAATCAACCTACTGAATCCCTAACACCATGCTAAGGTGTGTATATATGTGTGTATATATATTTCTCTTAAGAACCTTATGGTCTAAAAGGTATTTTCCACATGTTGTAATAAGGATGGAAACTCAGAAAATTTATGTTACTTTTTTTTACAATTTGCTAGCTAAATATTTAATGCTTAATTCTAACTCAGATCAGGTTTGCTTCAAAGCTATGCTGTTAAAAACAATTGAGATAATTGAAATTGATTTGAAAAGCATCATAAATTCAATTTATTACTTCTTAATTTTAAATATGTCCTGGAAAAACTAAATGAAAATTCCATACATAAGCCACCAAAAATAAAAATTATAAAACATGTTCAGATTGAGATGTAAAAAAAACTAGCATTGACAAATATTTTTGGGGCAGAAGCAGCAGGTCAATAAAATTAGAGCAATCCTGATCTTCATTATGTTGCTAGAAAGTGCATCTTAACACTCATATTAACAGTAATTCTATGTGAAGTAACTATTTAGGTTAAAGGGAAATAGGTCACATTTTCTAGATGGAATTTAAGTTAGACAATTAACTCAAGTTAAATATATCAATCTACTCATTACCTGGCCCACAAAAATCTTAAATGGATTACCATTGGAACCAATGGGAAGTGGGGTACTAGTTCATGTCCTGCTTTCTATTTAAATTATTTCGCCTTTTTCTAATTCAGGTCAAAATATTATCTGCACTCATAAAATATCTCAATGAATAAATTAAAGTAACATATAAGGAAAAGTGCTACTGTTAGCTCATATTTTTTTCTATAAAAGAAGGAAAATTTGTAAAAGGTGTTTGATAATGGGTCATTTATACACCTGCCTTATAAAACAGGCTTATTTGAAAATATATTTGATTTAAAAAAATAATTGCTGTAAACATTGCTAATAAAAAAGCATTGCTTGCCTAGAATTTCACCTTAGGCTTAGAGTTGATAGGATAGTTTCTAAAAGAATGTAGGGTTTCTGGCTGTGGACATTTCATCAACAATGTAGGAAGTATATGTACTGGAAGAAACCATCTTGGGCAGGGAATTAGAAAAGCTGAGCACTTAGCCCTGATTTTGCTGTTGAATCCTATGTGACCTCAGCTACGTCACTTCATGTTCTAGTGCTTCTCATCTATTTTTATAAAAAATCTGCATGACAACAACACATGCTTCTCCATGTTTTATATTAGCATTATCAACACTCAAGAAGCTACTCCTGAAATGATCAAGGACACGCCCTCCAATCTGATCATTCTTAGGTTAGCTCATGCAGTTTTTCTTGGAACTATGTGTTTATAGCTTAAATTTATCTCTTTTTCATCTGTTAAGAGAAAATGCTTTCATCCTTTCTTTTCTTTCTTTTATGACTATTTAAGTGTCCTGCCCTAAAGAGTTTGTTGACTCTAGAATATTAAGATAGAGTTGAATAGCTGAAATTTCATTCTTCCAGCCACCCATCCACGTATTCAACATGCATATGTCAAAGCTTACGTGTGCAAAGGCTGTGGCAGTTACTGCACTTCACACTGCTTTAATCATGGCCTATGCAGGTAACAGCCACCTGATTAAAACTGTTGTTCAGCCATTAAAAAAGAAAAGCTAATTGTGATATATTCTCTTGGCCTGGTGAGAAGCCCATGTTCACTCTGTGCTCTTCCAGTCCTCTTTGGAGCTACTTCAGCCTGTGGCCCTGTAGACAGCCTGACTGATCCTGGGAGCTTAACTGGAACCTTGAAAAGCTGCTATTAACTTTTCTTAACATGCATCAGAGAGAACCTTTATGGCTGTTCCAGAATAGATTACAATTTCATGGTTTGTTCATCTGGAGGAGGAATATGCTTACCAAGATAATCTCTTCCAACTGAACATTTTATGGTAGTTAAAATTGGGAAATTTTTTCACATTTCTAATATGATTGCATTCTTAACAGTGAAAAATTAAAAGTTGGTTTTTTACAGATTAAAAATACCCTATTAGGTGCAGATAGGTAGGAAACCCAAAACTTGAAAGTGTTTGATGTGTCCACTGTAAAGGAGTTAATATAGTAACCAAAAACAACAGAGGTCAATATGGGAAGGTGACCGGGAAGTAGTGAAGAGGTCTGGTAGAGATGAACCAATCCGGGTTGTAATACACTTGTGCATGGAAGCAATGCTAGGAATCTCTCTGTAGAGGTATCCTTATCTCAAGTAGCAAAAATGCTATGCCTTTCTTATTATTGTTCATATCTATTCTTCAACAAAATTGGAGAAAAATGAAAAACAGGTTCTGACTGGAACCAAGGGGGTGGGGGAGAGGGAGGATGCGGGAGGGAAGGGGGAGAAATGGCCCAAACAATGTATGCACATATGAATAAATGAATAAAGAAGAAAAAGGACGGACAGGGGATAAAGGAGAAAGAAGGAGGGAATGAATCTAAGATACACTGTAAGCACTTTTGTAAATGTTACAGTGTACCCTAGGTACAACTATAATATGCTAATAAACTTTAAAACTTAAAAAAATACCCTATTAGGGGTTATTTCATAAAATTATTTACTTCATAGGTTTTGCTGTGACTCTGTGTCTCCATGCAAGAAGCTACCATATAACTATTTATCAAAAGGTCTTACCTTGTTGCTGCTTTTTAACATAGTGGGAAATATTGAAGATCAGTGATATAACCAGAGCCAAACCCAACAAGGCTAAAAGTCCCCAGAGAAAAAAGGGGCATTCAGAGTTTCCTGGAAACAAAAATAAACATATCCGTGAAATAGTAGCTCATTACCCATTTGTTTTAGTCTAGATAGTCTCACAACTAAAACCATTGCAGTTACTCTTCATAGAGGACAAATCTGTCAGGAAATTAATTAAAATTGCAAACAAAGGTTTCTTACAGGTTTCAAAGTGGATATTTGTGATACGTCCTTGAATTCAGCATGAGCAAAAGGAAACAAGTTTTCTACACATATAGTGGTGATAAAATGAAAGATAATTTTAGTCTGGCTACTCAAAGGTGGCAAGTGGTGACTGATTTTTCACTTTGGTTCAAAAATAAAAAATTTCCTGATTATTGAGAATGATAAGTTGCTATAATTTTACCTTTCCTTCAATCTTCAGACTAAAATCTTTTGTGCTTTCCTTATTTACAGAAAAACACTTGCTCTCTTCCATTAATCCCAACAGTATAGGATACCAGGTATTGGAATAATGCAATAATTCTGGAATCAGACTAACCCAATTTGGTTAGGACTGGCCACAGGGAACTTTTCTCATACTATATTATTTCCTTGGTCATCCCATTAATGATAAGCGAAGAATTCATTTTCTCTTTCCCCTCTATGAAGGTCTCTCTTTTCATGTCATTACTAAGCCATAAAAGGGAGTTTTGTGAGATGTTGCCTGCCAGTTGCCCTTGATAATTTATAGCTATCTCTACACACATATAAGTGGCTGCTAAGATAATTAGCCTGGTTTTACATAGCTTACTAATCATATTCCACATGACCCACATCATATGCTGACCCCAGAAAAGTAACTTGTAACTCTGTACTATATTCACTTATTCAATCATTATTAATTAGTATCTCATCCGTGTCAGGATGGTTAGAGAATCAAAGATTTTTAAAAAAGCAAACCAAAATCCTTGCCCTCAAGAAACTTTATTTAGTTGGGGACATAGGTGTTAAATATGTAAGTACAACTATAAACTGTTAATAGTTTGCAAGTAAAATAACTGTAATAACAACCATAATCCTTCAGAGTCCGAACTCTAACTACTCAAATCCAAAACCATCGTAGTTCCTTTCAAAAAGGTTAAAATACCAATGCTAAACACAATAAACAAAACATACAAACTCTTAACAGAAGGGAAGTTAGCTTTCCTTCCTTAGTCTGTCTTTAAAGTGTCAAGTGAAGACTCTGTAAATCAAAATCTCTTTTGTGCTGCTTATTGTTCTCTGTACCTCAAATTTAACATTTAAATTACGATTTTTTTTTTGAATTCTTATTGATATTTCAGTGATTGTGTAACTGCCATCAGTGGTCCTGTGTCTTTGAGTTGACATCATTAATTTTTAAATGAGCATAGTTATGCATGTGAATAATTAAATATATAATATATGTGCATTTCTTTAGATATTCTTATACATGCAAACTATTTACACATTATTTATTCATATGCGTTGCTTTAGTTTGAATCTCTTTTAATGCTACAAGATTTGTCCTTTTACTACTTCCTCTTTAAGTTAGTACCATGTTATTATTTCTAGATGTTCAAAATACTATAAACTCTACTGAGAATGAGGTTATTCCTGCAATAGATCCATCAATTAATTTGATTAGAAGCACCAAGTTTTTCTAGAGGGATGGGGGCTAATTTATTCTTTATGAACATAATCCCACTAAACATTTATGATGCGTCTACAGCATAATAAATGTTAACTATATCAAATATTCTAGAAATTCTGCATATTGCATAATTATTGCATATAGTCTTAGGATTATTTGATTTTTTTATAGTTAACCGTTTATTAAGAAAAAGCACAAGAACCTTTTGATAGCAAGTTTAAAAAAATTCCAACACACCAAAATATAGAGTAACATTTAAAGTCCTCTGCTAAAATACAAATGAGGCAGATTATACTAATTAACCCTATTTTTAACTTAGTATATTTGGAGAATTTTTATCATGTCCATATTTTATTCTTAGTGGCTGCCTAGAGTATTACAGAGTTGATGTAATATACTTCATTTATCCATTCTATAAGATGGTCATGCTAATTTTTAAATATTTTTCCTTTACAAAATTAATGTAGAAAACACCAGTGGACATTTTGTACATATGTGCACTAATCTGTATACGAGTCTTCTGGAGAAGAATTGTTAGGATAAAGGGTATTTTGGTAAGTTTTTTTGGTGGTATCAGGATTTGAGCTCAGGGGTTTGTGTTTGCTAGACAGGCACTCTAACACCTGAGCCAGCCTTGCATTGGAAGTATTTAAGAGGAGATTGCTCCCACCTCGTTACTCCCCTTTCCCAGTGATAATACTTTCCACTGGTGGATTTAACTCCAACTGTACAAAATGAGGCCAGCAAGCTGTCTCACTTGTCAGACAGGGCTGTTTCCTTCTTTGCTATCACAATTCAGGGGAAATGGTATGATTTGTTTATTAAAGACCCTCACTCCTTTATTCTTTTATTTATTTATTTATTCATTACCCAATATTAACTGTACAAAGGGATTTCATTATATTTCCAGTCATGCATATAATATACTTTGATTTTATGCTTTTATTTTTTGACTATGGGGTCATTTCATCACCCATAGTCTAAGTGCAGTTCTGAATTCTTTCCCATGTTGAAACAACTTGAGGGCACACATTATATATTTTATTGAGGTATATCACAACTATCATGTCAAGTTCTTCAGTCAGCCAAGTATAGACTCACATTCCCTCTACAGTCATTGCATTTGGTGACACTTAAATAAATGAATTTTAATTGCTACAAAAGGCCAGAAATATTACCTACATAGACCATGTTAAAAAAATTAGTAAATCTAGATAAGCCAAAACAAAAAGATAAGAATTAACCTTAATTCTATTATCAAGAGGTGATCATTATGGACACTTTGGGTAATTACAATTGACCCTTGAAGTGTAGGTTTGAGTGGCATGGGTCCTCTTATAGGTGTAGTTTTTTTTTTTCTTTGAGATTTTCAGCAATTTGAAAGAATTGCTGATGAACCACATACCCCAGACATATTGAAAAAATGAAAAATAGTTATATCATGAATGACTAAAATGTATGTAGGTAAAACTCTGTTTTGTCATTTACTACCATAGAATATGCACAAATCTATTACAAAAAGTTCGAGTTTATCCAAACTTATGTGCACAAACACATACATGGAGTCATTCACAGACAAGAAAAATATAAGCAAACATAAAGATACAGTATTAAACCATAACTGCATGAACTGTAGTAGCCCTGTACTGCAACAATAGTTTCAGAGCCAACTCCTGTTACTGTTGCAGTGAGCTAAAGTATTGTGACTGCCCACTTAAAATGCTATGTGACTCTAATCTCCACCTGACAAGTCCTTCTCTGCAGTGAATTGCACATACCAATAAAACATGATCTCTTGTGGTTCTTGCATGTCTTTCACCATATATAATAGATGATATACAAAATATGTGTCAATCAACTGCTTATGCTATCAGTAAGGCTTGTGCTCAACAGTGGGATATTGGTGTTTAAGTTTTGGGAAGACCAAAAGTTATGTGCAAAATTTTGACAGAGTGGTGTTCAGTGCCCTAACATCCAAGTTGTTCATCTGTACTTTCAAACTAATTTTTCTCTGTTTAAAAATTGTTATAAACAGAGAGATGGGATTCAATTATGCTGACTACACTATTGTCTACTTCCCCTCACCCCCAATAACTTTACAATGTGCTTCTTTACCTGTGAACAAAATATTCTTCCATTTCTTTTGGCTGCCCAATATTTCACTGTATGAACTTACTATAACTTATTTAAGTGATCATTGATTGTAAGGTATTTAAGTTGCTTGCTTCTATTTTTGATTACTATAAGCAATATCATGATGAGTATCTTTTATAGCTAGAACTATATAAACACAACTTTAATGCTTTAGGTTTTATTTTTGAAGATAAATTGCTGGATTAAAGGACTTTGCTATCTTAACATTCATTGTTTTGAAATATAATACTACATCTTTTCAGAACAGTGTGACTCTGGTCCTAATTAGTTCAGTTGCACTGGCTTTATGTTTATTGATATTTCAGTTGATCAAAACTACATTAACCACCACTCTTGACTAAGCTACTCCCTTTCTGTTGCACTAACTTCCATATTCACTTCTTCCCCATGAACTAGAGAAATTGGCCCTTTTTAGTTCTTTCTGTAGCTGACAGCACAGATTCTTCAGAAGCAACTGTTTGTTCCTATCTCTGTGCTGAATATACAGTATAGGGATCATTACACTTTTTTCCTTATCATAAATTATCTCCACAATATGCTACTGTGGATGCCTGTCTTTTGGGCTTATCTGTCATAATCTCCCAATCACATACTATGCACCAATAATTACAAAACACTTGCAATTTTCAGTAGATGTGCTACCTTGTCATTTTTTTTTCTTTTCCCTTTGAGGTACTGGGCTTTGAACTCAGGGGCTCATGCTTGCTAGGCAGCTCTACTGTTTGAGCCACAACTCCAGTTCATTTTTTGTTGGGTATTTTTGAGATAGGGTCTCATGAAATATTCTGTGAAATATTCTTATTCTCTTGGACTGGCTTCGAAACATGATCCTCCTCATCTCTGCTTCCCAATAGAGCTCAGCTCCTTGTTGTGTCTTTTTGTGTCTGTATATTTCCCCTTTGCCTGAATTGCCTTTCCACTTAGCAATCTAAAATATAATGATACATTCTTCAAGACTACCTTGTCTTGAAACTTTCCCTCAATGCTGTCTGTCCTCTACTGGATGACATCTTATACTCTTCTGTAAATTTAAAACATATTGAATTAATCACTTATGTTGGAATCTCTCTCATCCACTAAACTATGAACTTTCCAAAGGGCAGGATCTCTTTTATTAATCTTTGTCTTCATGTCTCAATTTCCTCACTTACAAAAAGAAAGGAACAGTGTTTATTCTTACAGAGATTAAGTGAATTAAGACACAGATTTTTAGAATGGTGTTGCTCACTAGTAAAATGAT